CCCCACCTTCAAGGGGCCCATCTAGACAATGTCACATTCACTCAAGCCCCAGACCCCTCTGGGCCGTGCCTTCCTCCCCACGGCCCCGTCCCAGCCCCCTTTCCCTTGATTAGAACTTGTCTCCCTGACAAGGCCTCAGTTGGGGTCCCATCCACCCTTGAGGTATCATTGCCTGCACCCTTGTGTTGTTACTGTCCTCGGACGAGCCTACCTCCGTATCTTTTGAGAGCCAACACTGCCTTAGATACCCCCATTTGTGACCCAGTCCCTATCTCTCACCCCCTGAATGCTCCTCTCCCTCCATATCCACATCCCCAATGGTGCCCCAGCCACCCCTGGGGCCCTGTGTCCTGCCATATCCTACCCCATCTGACCTTGCCCTTGTCCTTCCAGATGCCTGTGGCCTTTCAGATCCAGCACACGTGGAGAGCCTACAGGAGAAGGCACAGGTGGCCCTCACTGAGTACGTGCGGGCCCAGTACCCGTCCCAACCCCAGCGCTTCGGGCGCCTGCTGCTGCGGCTCCCCGCCCTGCGTGCTGTCCCTGCCTCCCTCATCTCCCAGCTGTTCTTCATGCGCCTAGTGGGCAAGACGCCTATTGAGACGCTGATTCGAGACATGCTGCTGTCTGGAAGTACCTTCAACTGGCCCTATGGCTCAGGCCAGTGACTGGACAGGACCCGTGGCCCAGTGGCCTGGTCTGCAGACCTCAAGGGATGTGGCTGCTCGAGCCTCAGGGGGATTCCCCAGACAGAGGACTCCAGCCTCTCTCCTCAGACTCCTGTTTTTTAAAGACTGTGAATGTTTGTCTTTTCTGTTTTTTAAATGATCATGAAACCAAAAAGTGACTGACTGTCCAGGCTCTGGCCTTGTCCTCCACAGAAGCTCCTGGCCAAGATAGGGAGGAACTGAGGTTCTCATCCTGGGACAGTTTTGGCCCTCAGTGCCTCAGGCCTGGACTCGTGGGATGGTGGGGTCGGTATGCATGTGATCCATTGGTTGCCTCCCACATGCACCCCCAACTGGGGCTGGGGATTGAACCTGCAACCCAGGTACATGCCCTTGACCAGGAATTGAGGCCACAGTCCTTTGATGCACAGGCTGATGCTCTAAGCACTGAACCATACCGGCCAGGGCTCTCATCTTTGAGGGGGAAGGCAGCCTACTATGGGAACCCATTCCCACCCCCCTGGAAAACCCACAACCTAACAACAGCCCTGCTTGCTGTTTGTGTTGGACAGTGT